CCCGTGTCCCCTGCATCGGCAGGCGGACTCTCAACCACTGCGCCACCAGGGAAGCCCCGTATTTACTCTTTTTGATTGAATGAAATAGTTCCTATACTGTCTAATAGTATGTTACTTGCTTACTTTACTATGTTACTCACTGAGGTACAATGACAGTGACAAAAAATGCCAGGCACTGAACACTCCCACCAAGGGATCATGGAGAAGGCACATCTCCCTAATTATTTTCTCTTAGTTTACACCAAACCCAGGAGCAACAGAGTCAGCAAGCACCCCGGAAGTTACTCTTCACGCCAAAAGGTGCTCCAGCTGTGCTGACCAAGACAGCATCCTGTGACGATGGACGTGTTCTCCATCTGCACCGTCCCACACAGAGTGGGTACTGAGCTCTTGAAATGTGGCTGATGTGATGGAGGAACTGAAGTTTTATCTGTATTTAATTTTAATTAAAATTAAAATAGTCACGTGTGGCTAGTGGCTACCGTATTACACAGGGCAGGTCTAGACACACGGGTTCACCATAGCATCTCAAGGCGTTTTTGCCTTGTTCCTTAAAGAGCTGAATCTGATCTTCCTCAACATTCTGTTTCTGATCAATGCACTTAAGAATATCTGTGGGAGATACAGCGGCTTCCACTAGGGGAGACATTTTCTGTGTCATTGTAGTTACAGAGCAAAGGCAAAGTGCTTTTCTCAGAGAACAAGGTGCTAGCTCCTCTGCAACCACCAGGGGTCACTGAATTCGGAACAGGGTCCCCAGGGGCTGGTATGAGCACGCTCCAGGCTTCTAAGCCACAAGCAAAGAGCTAAAAAAAGAAATCCTGAATGTCTTGAAAGACTATCTTGAAAAACAAAAACAGTGGAATAAAACCAGTGGGTGTCTTGTCAGCCTTAAGCAACTATTACCACTAGCCAAAAGAACAGAACTAATTGCTTACTTAAAAGGAAAGGAAAAAAAACAAAACAAAACACGAGAAAAGAACTAAATCAGAAAACATCTAAGGAATGTAAGTAGTTTCCACAGACACTTCTAATCAAGTAGTCTGTGTATGATATTTCAACATGGCTGTTGCCTTTTTTCTTTCCTCCCTTCTCCCTCTGCACTTGATGGGGACACCTCCTTTCTTAAGTGTAATTACTTTTGTTTACCTATCTAACAAAGAGATAAAACACATGGCGCACTTAAAGAGTGGAGCGGTCTCCTCTTTGTGGAGGGGCAAAGTGTGGGTGACACAGCACTTTCAGGCTTGACTTGGAAGGTCCCGGGACTCTGAACCCGTTAGCATTTGCCCTGCCCCTAACCAAGCACAGCTGTTTCCTTTCTCCCAACTGCTCTCCTCGGGGCTCCAATTTTTTTTTGAAGAAGAAAGGACCACCCTGAACAGAAAGGGCTCTCTATCCTCTCCTGCTTAGAGCCCAGTATCATGTTTTGTAAGGGAAGGACAATGGGAAATACAGCAAATGATTTTTAAATCATCAGAGGATGGACAGAAGTGCTCTGAAGACAACATTATGGTTTTGTTTTCTGGAGGCAACATCCAAGGGCCACTTTTCCAAACTTCAGGGATTCCTTTGGAACAGGAAAATAATTATTTTCTTTTTCGATTTCTTAAGGGAGAAACAACATTAGATCTAGCAGTTCCTTATGGCCCTAATTTTCTTTCTGTCCCCATCCAGCCAGCTAAAGGTTGGACTTCTGCCCGCTCTGCAAGATTGCTCTGAAGAGCCTTCCCAAACCGCAGGGTGTAATGAATCAAGTGGAACGCGGACAGGATGAGGATTCCCAGCCAGTAGCCGGGGTCAATCCATGGGGCATCAGGTGAGGGTGAGGGCTGGGCGAAGTGGGGGCAGAGGGGAACCGCGTCAAATGAAGAGTAGCTTAAGCTCTCCCCAAAGTGTCACTTGCTAACTGGTGGCCTTGGAGTCTGGACAGGGCTGACCTCAGGCACTCTTAGAAAAAATCTGCTCAGAAGAGTACAAGGGAGGAAGTGGAATAATTAGAAAGAACCTGAGGCTGGATGCTGAATAAGAGCCAGTAAATCTCCCCTTGCTGTATCACCTGCATCCCTTTATTCAACGTGCCTTTGCCAAGCTGCCCCCTTATACAAACACCTCACACACACACACACACACACACACACACACACACGCATATAAGCCACAAACACACTCAAACATAAACATACAGACACACACATACACATGCATATAAACCACAGCCACACTCAAACATAAACATACAGACACACACACACAGATTCATACATGCACGCAAACTAAACGCATGCATATACATATTTACAAACACACAAGATCTACACATAAAAACAACACATGCACGTACACACAAAACCCACAAATACCTTGAGAAAGACATACATACACACAGCGCACAAATACACACGTATAAACATCACACATATACACACACAGCACACAAATGCACATGTATAAACATCACACGTACACACACAGTGCATAAGTGCACACGCATAAACATCACATGTACACACACAGCGCACAAATGCACATGCATAAACATCACACGTACACACACAGCGCACAAATGCACACGTATAAACATCATACATACACAGCGCACAAATGCACACACATAAACATCACACGTACACCACACCACCCCCACGGCAAATTTTCTTTACGTTTGGATAAAAAGTGGAGGTTGGGAAAACAACCAATTAATTGGGCCAAGTCTCAAAGGAGAGGAAATGAAATGAAAAATCCAGGCTGGGTTATAAAAATAAGTATTTTTTTTCCAACGTGCAGGAGGCTCATTATATTAATTAAACATTATTGCAGTGAGCGAGAGGGGGGAGGGTGATTAACGCTGGGATGAGGGTAAGTGTTCTCTCCTGTTGCCTGAGGCCGTGGTGATCTTCAGATATTAATCTCTCCGAGCACTCAAATCCTGAAGAGATAAACACTTGAAATATGAAAATGTTTTTCTCCGGAGCAGATGCTGTGACCCTCCGGGAAAGCAAGCGCAGGAGGCGGCCCGCGGAGAGCGTCTATCCCACTGCCGTCCCTGGAGACAGGGGACACAGCCAGTCCTTGGGGTGAGGGGCAGCAGAGAGGCTCTGGGGGACTCTGAAGAAGGGAAGGTCCCTCCCCCCTTTCATTCTCTAGGCAGGCAACATATGATCTACTAATTTCCAGAATTAAGCCCTTCCTTCTCAAACGCTTACGGGGTGGGGGGGTGCCCAAGATCCAGGAACACTGAAAGCTAACACGTGACGTGCTAGAGCAACGTATGCTACGTACTGGCTTGTGAGAGCCGATTGCGGAGTTTTCTGGAATTTTGCAAGCCTACTGTGAAATGCAAGCATCGTTAACAATTGAACTATATAAAGTTGCAATGAAATAAAGTATATTGAAAAAGAAAGGAAATAAATTCTCAAAATGCAATACCTCCTAATTATTTTAATACATTTTACTGGTATGCATGATTCAGAAGTTATTTATATCTCTGTTATCTGTGTGAAGGAAAAAAACTATCTAAGGCTGTGCTGCTGTACTTTTCAACTCCACCTCCGATGATGTCATGTTGGTAGCTTGCATTCAACCACAGTGGGAGGATTTACACCACGGAGAGTGGTGAACATTAATTACAAAGCAGATTTTTTTTTTGAAACCTGGAGAGCCAGTCGTTAAACATTTACCAGAACATCACTGTAAAAGCATGCCACAATGGAAAGAGT